GTGCCTTTGGTATGGAAAAGGAAGACATTGGGCCTTTACAGACTGCCAGAAATAATGCAGCTTGAGGCCACTTTAACTGTTCTGGTTTAGTGCTAGGGAATCATGGGAATTGTATTTTTTTTCTGAGACATTGAACCTTCTCTGTCAGAGAGCTCTGGTGCCACAATAGACTACAGTTCCCATGATTCCCTAGCACTGAATGAGGACAGTTAAAGTGGCCTCAAGCTTCATTATTTCTGGCAGTCTGTAAAGGCCCATTACTGACTCAGAATTATCAGCAACAACCTCATACTAAAGCAAGTGTTGGAACCCTTTTTGTTCCTGAGAGCTGCATCCAATAATTGTTGGGGGACTGGACACTCAACATTTGCATGCACTCATACAAGTATCCATACACACATGTTTCAGAGGGGTAGAAGGTTATGGAGGCTCTGGGCAGTGGGTTTTAACCTTACTCCTATCCCATCAGTCCTAGTCAAGATTGCTGGGGACAAAGAGAGGCTGCTTTGAAGACACTCCTGTAAATTGCTGCTTTGACATTGGCTTTAGCAATGTGGAACCTGCAATCCTAGTTTTTGGGAGATGGGGGTTGAAGCACTGGGGGTGTTATGGAAGGCCCAACATGGAAGACTGAGTGTAGTTCCCAACACATGAGTAACTCACTCCAGACTAAAGGTCTACTCCATTGGATTGCCTGGGTGGAAGATATATTTGAACTCACTGAAGAAAGGAGAAGAAATCTAGATCTACCATTAGGCAAGTATATGAAAAAAAAATATTTAGGACAAGGAAGAATAATACAAAGCAACAATCACAGATACACAATTCCAAGCATAAATAAAGGCTTGCTAATATGACTAGCACACATTACATAGTTGAACAGAACATTGAATTTCAAAGCATTTACAAAGTTATGTATAAAGCTGAAGATCTGATAGAGTACATATTTGGAGACCTGATCAGATGTTACCAGGAATATACATTCAGGATGAAAGTTTACATATTTATATGAATCTGGCCTTCTAATGAAGGTAGAGTGTTGTTTTGTCTGTTTGTGAGACAGGTTCCATGTCTAATGTCACTGGTCTAACCAACCAGTCACAACATTATTTAGATCATAAGTCTACTTGTCTAATACCTTTTTACCATCATTATAAAGAGCTATGCAGTTCCAGGCAGTTATCTTAAATGTGGGAGAATTTAACTTCTATATGTTCATTCAGAAACAAAACCTAAGGTGTATGGTCACTGAGGCATCAAAGTAGGGGTCTCAAATCATTGACACTCAGCCTAAAGGGATTGGTTACATTGTTGCATCTTTATTCTGAAACAAATCACAAGGCATATGCTTTTTGAGGCTTCATGGTGTGGGTATAAAATCCCGGACCTTCCAGGTGGTGGTGTACATCTACAGAATATGATTGACCACAACAGTGCAGATCAGGAGTAGAAGCTGTTCATTTCATAAGTTCCATGTGATTGTAATGTGTTTCTTTGCCTCTCTGAACCTCTCATGGTGAAAACAATGTTCATTCTAAAAATAGCTGATCCCAGGAATCTCCAGGAGGGATTATTGGCCATTTAAAGATTATTTTTCACACACACACACACACACACAGGTTTTCTTAGCAGGATTTATTCAGAAGAGGTTTGCCATTGCCTTCCTCTTGGGATGAGAAAGTCTGATCCACCCAAAGTCACTCAGTGGATTTCTATGGCTAAGTAAGGATTTGAAGCCTGGCATGCTTATCCAACACTCAGTCCACTATATCATGCTTGTTCAAGGTCTACTGTAAAATGGTAAGATCTAGGAGCAGCTGACCTCTCAATAAGTGATTAGTGAAGGACTAACATGAAACCCAGTTTTAAAAGAAGGGGAGCCTTCTCCATCTATGCTTCCTCTGCTGAGGTTAGTGGTGTTCACTTTGGGATCACAACTTTTTCCTAAAAGCACTTTATACAGTCAGCCTTCCCTATCCATACATTCTTTATCTATGGATTCCACCACCCATGGTTTGAAAATATTTTAAAAAATATAAATTTCCAAAAGCAAATCTTGATTTCCTAATTTATATAAGATATACTATTTTACTATGCCATCATATTTAATGGGAACTGAGTATCCATGGATTTTTGTATTCATGGGAGATTCTGGAACCAAATCCCAGCAGATACCAAGGACCCAGTGTAGTGGCTAATATTTGTAAGAAAAAGAAAGAATGGTGAAAGGGGCTAATTACTTTTTTTAAAAATGGTTTTCTATCACCCTGGTGATTGTTTACAGGGCTGTTTTTGTCTGTTCATGTTTTTAGTTGTACCTGTTTCAATATTTTTATGAGCATTAGATTTCAGTTGTGGGAGAAAAGTAGGATATAAGTCAAGCAAACAGATAAATAAATCAACATTTGCCTAGATAACCAATAGACTTTTATGTATCTTTCCTTATAATGGCTTCCAAGGAAGGCTCCTTCTCTTGGGCATCAAAGTAATTGCAGTTAAGTGTCAGGAACTGTTTATGTGACATTTAACCAATAGTCCAAACAGTTCACCCTGATCTTTTTGTGTAGAGCTCCCCAACAAGTCTCTTCATCTCAAGGATACCAAACATTGAAACCTGTACATATCAACCACTGAACGATAACAGTTTTCCTGGTATGTCTTTCTGTTATTAAAACTATTATTCTGGGGTTTTTAGAGCATGTTTTTCTTAATCTCTCATAAACCTACATCTTTTTCTTCCTTAACAGTTTGGGATTTATTCTTTAGTTATATTTTATTTTATTTTGTGCAGTGGTATAGCCACCATCTGCTCCTTTAATATGGTACTCTTAAATAGCTAGAGGCAGAATGCCTGGATTTAACTCTCTCTCTCTCTCTCTCTGTCTCTTAAACTTTGCCCTTGAGATTGCTAACTAATTTGCTTCTTCCTATAGCTTGATCTTTAAGGGTATAGAACTCTCTTACTATGAACTCCACAGAAAAAGTCCTGGTGATGTTAATGAAGCAATTCTATCTATCTCTGTTCAGATGTCACTTCCATTGAGATCAGTAAGACATATTCCAAAGCAGTCATGTATAGGAGAGCAGTTTTAAAAAGTTTATTTTTGTATCTAACTTAGGACACTGTCCATGCTTTCTAAATTATCCTTTTTCAATGAAGCTGTATCCCCAGCACCACACTTCTTTTGAAATCCAAAAACAGCCTTAGGCTGATGCAATCTCGAGTGGAGGACTGATGGACAGAGTCTGCTTAACCTTTCCCCCTCTGGCTGTTTTTCATCTCAAAATTACCCCTCCAAGCTGGCATGGCCATATTTTTCCAAAGCTTTGGAAGACTTATTTATGCTATAATTCCCAGAACCTTCCAGCTAATATGGCCATTGCACATGCTAGTTGAAGAGGCTAGGAACTGTAGTGCAAAAAAGGATTTTTTCCAGGTTCTGCCCCTGCTGCCATATTGAGGCTTTTAAAATATATAACAACTTGTAAGAGAGTTGAGCAGAAAGAGATACAGACTCCTCCCTATTATTTTGCATTTGTTGATGCTCCTTCCCTCACTACTGTACTTACATTTTTGAATTTGCATCTACTCGTTTCATATTATTTAATGTGTGCTAAAAGCCAAATATTTAAGATTCTTCATATTAACAAATGTTGAGGTTAGGCAGCAGATTGAAACATTATTCCAGTGTAAATTGAAATCTTGGTCTCATTAGCATGCTGGGAATAATTGCTCATTGAAAGTTGATTGACTAACTTTTCTCATGACGAGTGATCCTATATTGCTCAGATCTACAATCTTGCAAAGTCTGTTAAATTACTGTAGATCTGTACTGTGTACTAACTCATATTTAGTAAATTATATTAAAACACCAAAACAGTTTCATATTGAGCTATAAAAATGGTAAATATTGTTATTAGCTACTCAGGAAATTTCCAGAGTTCCACTTTGCTGGTGCTCTTGATGTCCTGAAAAGAGATTTCATACAGGTAGAGATTTTGTGAGACTACATTGTCCAATTGTTATGGTTTCTTATTGGAAGTTCACTACCAATGTTCCTTGACATTAAACCTCCCCCATTATTTTTGTAAGTCTCTTGGAGAACAAAATAAGTTAAATAAAAACTAAAGTGAATGAAAAGGAAGGGAGGAAGGAATGGGAAGGAACATAGCTTGGTGGTAGAATGTACACTTTTACATATACACAGTCACAGATTCTGAAGAATTAGAATCAGAAAATGACTAGGGTTTGGGAGGGCAGCTATTAAGGAACTAGACAAGTTTCTGAAATGTAAAGATGTGTCATTGAATACCAAAGTCAGTATTGCCCATGCCATTGTATTTCTCATTTCTCTGTACAGTTGCGAAAGTTGGACAATGAAGAAAGCTGATAGGAAGAAAATCAACTCATTTGAGATGTGATGTTGGAGTTGAGTTCTACAGATACTGTGGATCACTAAAAAGACCAATAAATGGGCCCTGGAGCAAATCATGTCTGAATTCTCCCTAGAAGCCAAGATGACTACTGTCATATTTTGGACATATCATGAGAAGACATGACTCTCTAGAAAAGACAACAATGTTTCTACAAAGGTAGAAGACAGTAAGAAAAGTGGAAGACCATGTTACAGGTGGATAGTCTCTCATACATAGCAATCAGGATTACCATAAATTGAAGTTGACTTGATGACAGTTAACAACATCACAGATTCATTTCCAGGCTTCTTCAGAGGGTTTCAGGTTGAAAGGTCAGAAAGATATTTTTGTGTGTGTGTGTGTGTGTGTATATATATATATATATATATATATATATATGCAGTTATATAATTAATTAAATTATATATGTGTGTGCAATTATATTATTAATTAAACTTACATAGTTTATTAAATTATATATTTAATTAAATGCTCTGTAGTAGTTGGGGCATGATTTTCATAATCTACTAGGAAGGGGACTGATACAGCTGAATATCCTTATATATTTTGTTGAGTTTTGGAGAGCCAGGATGGTGTAGTGGTTTCAGTGCTAGACTATGACTCTGGAGAACAGGGTTCCATTCCCCACTTGAGCATAAAAATACATTGGGTGACCTTGAGCAAATCAGACTCTCTCAGCTTCAGAGGATGGTAATGACAAACCCCCTTTGAAGAATCTTGCCAGGAAAGCCCCATGACAGGTTTGCCTTAGGGTTACTATAAGTAAAAAATAACTTGGAGGCATGCAACAACAAGTAATTTGGTAAAGCCCACAGTTTGGTGGTAGACTATACTTGCAGAAGGTCATAGATTGAATCCCTGCTATCTCCAAACAAGCTCTAAAATACTTCTCACTGAATTCCTGGAAATTCTGCCTATCAATGGAGTAAGGTGGCAGAATGTGGCCCATTGGCCATATGAAGCCCCATTATGTCTCCAGATTCCCTCAGTCCTCCACAATCCCAGTCTTCTACAAATCTTTATTTTTGGAACAATTTGGAGATGTATCAAGGGAAGTAGAGGAGTGGCACCAGTCAACCAAAATCTGGCCCACAGAACTCTGGAATTTGTCCACCCCTCATGTAGGCAAGAGATGAATTAATGGACTGACTTGATATAACACAATTTCTGGTTATTCTATTCTTTGGTTGCCCATCTTGCTTAGCTTTTTGAGGCCTGATGATGCTTTTTGGACATGAACATTTCCCATCTATATTATCTTCCATTATTATCCTGAGCATTTCTCACATTCTGATCAGCTGGTATAGATCACTAGTTTACAGCCTATGTTCACTCTCTTGGAAGACTCTTTTACTGTTCACTGCTCCTTTATTCCACTTCCAATTACCTGGCTGCTCACCTCTATCTAGATTTGGTTATGATGTCTTTTTTTTTCATCCTACTGAACCACCAGAAGCTTCAGAATTGAACAGATTCTCCCAGTTTTAGCAAAAATGCCACAGCCAGAGAATGCCTAAGGACTTTTTCACATGGGAGGCAAGCATTCTCCTCCCGTCATTAATTTGCCATTAAATCCCATCAATATCACACAATAATGGGATGATTTTCAGATGATGTTGGGTGACGTCACCATTATTGCACCATTATCCCATTAATAAAGTGGCAAAATCCTGTGAATAAAAAGTGGTGCAATTTTGCTGCCTTATTCACGGGATAATGGCACGATAATGGTGATGCTGCCCAACGTCATCTAAAAATCATCCCGTTATTGTGTGATATTGATGGGATTTAATGGTAATTTAATGATGGGAGGAGAATGCTTGCCTCCCATGTGAAAAAGCCCTAAATAAGCCTGGTTCTGTGAAAGACAATGGCAACCTTGAACATGCTAGTGGATTAATTCCTCCAGGACTACTTGCTTTAGTAAAGAAACATCAGCAAAAAGCCTGGAGGCTAAATGCCAGAAATTCCAGCATTCTCTGAAATCAGAGGTGCTTGAAAAGATAACAAGAAAAAGACATTCTGTAAACCACACCATGATGCTCTGGCAGCATATATTATGCTCTTATGGTAGCAAAATGACCTATTAAGGTCAGCAGTACAATAATTTGGAGAAACCCCTTCTTTCTTTAAAAAATTCCCTATTGTTTTATATTTATTGAATTTGCATTATTATTTCATTGCTGTTCTACATTATGCTCTCTGGCTTACTACATTTATTCTTGTCATATCCAGATGCACCAACATTTGAACTTTGAATCCAATGAACAATTAGTCCTATAAGAATAAATAGTTTAGTAGAGCCAGAGCTCACAGGGTTATAGTCCTTGGACCTTTTGATGAATAGAGATGTTTATATCATTCACTGTGTCCCTCATGACTGCCTGGTTTACTCTAAGCTTAACTGGAATGCCTGCAGCAGGGGACAGGTGCTGATGAAATTTAAAAGAAAAACTCTTAGAACATCTTGAGCCATACATGTGTTAACTGTTAACTGCCCTTGAGTTGGCCCTAACTCATGAAGACTCTATGGATGAGACATCATCAAGACCCCTGTTCTTCACTGCTCTGGTTAGATCCTGAAGATTCACGTGTTACTTCCCTGATTGAATTTAGCTGTCTGGTGCACAGCCTTCCTCTCTTTCTGCTGCCTTCTGCCTTCCATAGCATTATTGTCTTATCTAGTGAATCATGCCATTTCATGACGTGGCCAAAATATGACAGCATCAATTTCATCATCTTGGCTTCCAGGGAGAGTTCAGGCTTTGTTTGTCTTTTTGGCAGTCCATAATATTTTCAGTACTCTTCTCCAGCACCACATCTCAATTAACTGATTTTCTTTCTATTTCTTTCTGTTGGCTTTCTTCACTATCCAGCTCTCACATCTGTACATGGTGAGGGCAAACATAATGGTTTGGATGATTCTAAATGTAGTGCTCAGTTGTATATTTTTACACTTTAGGGTCTTGTCTAGTTCTTTCATGGCTACCCTTTGAATTCCTAGTGTTCTTATTTCTTACTAAGAAATAATGCAGTCTCCTCCCTGATCAATGTTCGATCCAAGGTACAGGAAACCATTTAACTATTTTGATTTCCAAATTATCTAGATTAAATGTATGTAGATCCTCTGTGGTCATTATTTTTGTTTTCTTAATGTTTAGCAGTAAGCCTGCCTTTGCATTTTCCTCCTTGACTATCCTTAGTAATTGTTTCAAGTCTATATTTTTCTGCCAATAGAATGTTGTATGCACATATCTTAGATTGTTGATGTTCCTTCTCCTATCTTCATTCCTCCTTCTTCCAAGTCTAAACCTGCTCTTGTATGATATTTTCTGTGTACAAGTTGAACAGGTAGGTTGACAGAATTCATCCTTGCCTGACACCTTTGCCAATTAGGAACCATTGTGTTTCTTCACATTCTGTTCTAACTCTAGCTTTTTGTCTTAAGTACAGATTTTTCATCAGGACTATCAAATGTATTGGCACTCCCATGTATTTAAGAGCATTTCATAACTTTTCATGATCTATGCAGTCAAAGGCTTTGCTATAGTTTTATAAAGCACATGCTGATTTTCTTCTAATTCCTTGGTGTACGCCATTAACCACTGTATGTTTGCAATGTGGTCCCTAGTGCATATTCCTTTTCTGAATCCTGCTTGCACCTCTGGGATTTCTTTCTCCATAATTATTGAGTCTATGCTGCAGAATTTTGAGCATAATTTTGGTTGTGTGAGAAATTAATGCTATAGTCCTATAGTTGATGCAGTCTTTTGCGTCTCCCCTTTTGTGGATTGGGGTGTATATTGACCATTCCCAGTCTGTTGGCCACTGTTTTGTTTTCCATATTTGATGGCATATTTTAGTTATCACTAGAGTTGATTCTATGTGGATTATAGCAATTCTATTGGAGTATCATCTGTTCCTGCTTTTATTCTGTTCCTGCTGATTTATTCAAGTTTCTCTTATTGCACCTTCCACCTTGCTGTCTAGGATTTGAGGTTCACCTTCATATAGATCTCATTCAATGTGGCCATTCATTTTTAAAATTTTCTTTTATTTAGCTCTTTTGCATATTGCTTCCATTATCTTTTTATTTCTTCTTTATCTTGTAGTATGTTCCTCTTCTGATCCTAGATCACCCCCACTCTTGGTCTGAATTTTTGTTTGAGTTCCTGGACTTTGAGGAACAGGTCTCTCATCCTTCCCTTTTTGTTGTTGTCTTCTATTTGTTTGTATGGATTATTATAGTTGTTTTCTTTATCCTTGTACACTAGTCATTGGACACTTGTATACATGGTTTTTGTTTGGTTCCTGTCTCTCTTTCTTTTACTGCTTGAAGCATTTCCTCTGTTATCCATTGTTTTTTTTTATTCTCCTTTTATAATAATGGAAGGGGAATCACATACCTATGGGACTATTATAATGAGGATTTGCACCTCAAACTTTGCCACTATACCACATCTGTTATCAGTCTTTTCATGATATTATGGTAACTATGGATGCAGGAAAAAATAATAGGACCTGGAACAATTTGTATCTCCACCTGTTGTGGCACACTTGGTTTCCCTGCTATGGATATTAAGTGGTATCTTGCCAAGTGTAGTGGGGGTTCAAAATACCATTTAGCAGGACTGCCCTATTGTGTACAAACTGAGATAGCTATGTAAGGCAGCAGAAGGTAGGGAATGGGGGCATGATAGAGAACAGAGTTTTATGTGCATAACTTACTTGGTACCTCCTAAGCACTTCAAGTGCTCATCATCAGTGCTGAATTAAGATTCATTTATCCATACAGTCAGCTCCTTTACCTGAAATGGGAGGAGGGAACCACATTGTTTTTTGCTTCAGGCAGTGAAATGGCTTGGATTATCCCTGCAATTGGAATTACCGGTAGTTATGGATGCAGTGGAGAATCCCAAATGGAAATCTAGAGAAAAAGATCTCACAAAAAGAAGGAAATATTATCTGTATGAACATTCTGGAAGTTATACTCAGAATATAAAATGATTGTTGTTTCTGGTTGATTCATCCTGTCGCTTGATCCTCAGGCCAAGTGGACTTTTCTAAAGAACACCTTTTCCACCAATAATTAGCATGAAGTTGAGGGGTTTTATTAGTTCAGACAGGCTAGTCTGCTCCAACTGTGTTTGTGACTCATGGGCATTTACTTTTTTTCTCCTTCTAAAACATCCATTTACAGATAATTTTATTGGGGATAAAGTCAATAGTAATGGAAGGGGAATCACATATTTAGAGAACAAATACATTTCAGATTTCAGCACGGATGTGTGTGTGTGTGTGTAAATTCCTATTGAATGATTCCTTTTATATTTTCCTCATTTCTTCCCTTCAGGATGTCTTTATTTCAAATAATTTGCCTGGAGAAAAATGGCAAAACCCCCAATGATCTACCAAAATGAGTGAAAGATGAAAGAATTTCATTAGACTGGATGGGGCAGCCCTGTAGTAAACAATCTCACTCCAGAGGAACTAGACAGGAGTAAGAAAGCCAGTACTATTTAAAATGGAAACAATTGTGCTTCATCTACAATGAACTAAAGAGTCCTTTCTACTGTATTACTGGCTGAGAGAAGGGGAGGAGCAGAAGTAACCCTTCTTTCACTCTAATCTTCAG